TCATATTTCCTTTATTAATACTGTATTTTGGGCCAACTGATCCTTTTTAAGTTTTAAAATTTTGTCCTGCAATGCTGCTAATAACAGAGTTCATAGTTATAGCTATAATTCTTGAACATGGCATGATTGTCCAAGTAGTTCTCAGTAATTTACTGATGTTATAAAACTTGAAGAGAAAAGTAAGAAAATTTTCTATTCCTGAGAAGTAAAGAAGAGCTGCATAAACCCAGGAAACATGTCTGCCCCATATATATGTTGGCCTTTCACACAAAAAAAAACAATGAACAGCACAATATTTTCTCAGTAGCTGTAATTTTCAGAACATTCATATCTTCTTCCATTTCCATCCCCCAGCAGGTACCACTGTATCATCAGAAAGTGAAGTCACTGGGAAGAAAACAGGTGAGTGTGGGAGAAACCCAACCAGTTCACCAAAATAGAATGTTGCCAGGAGGTTGCCTCAGGTTGAGAACATTGTTCCTCTGAAAGTTTTGGGAAAATACATGCAGCTCACTGTCAAAGAAGAGGTAGACAGTGAACCAGTTAGATAAAATGAAAATATAGTTAGGTTCTTTGTAGGTGCATGTTTTTAAAAAAAGAAAACATGGTGACTACAGTTGAGTTGGTTTTGTGTTTTAGGCACTACTGGGGTAACTCCTGGTACAACTGTTGCGCCAGGCAGTTCCAAAACAGGTGAGTCTACAATTTGAAATAGAATCTTCCCCCCCTCTTCCCACAAATTAGATTTCCCCTCTGAGACTATTCATTGGAAGGGGTACCGTCGTATCTTCTCGATGATCCTGAAATATTCTTTAATCACTTCTTTCCTCATTCTCTCCCTCAGAGGCCACAACTTCCCTTGGGGAAAGTGAAACAACTACAGTTGGAGTAGAGACAGGTGAGTGCTCTAAGCTAATACCTGCATTTCATACGAACATCTTAGAATAGTCTTCTGAAAATATATCTACACTATTGATATATGTTATGTCAAGCAATTTCAGACAACAAGATAAGCCAGTTCTTACATTGTTTATTGTTTACTGCTAGGGCTTTCCTTGGGGAATACCTACATTTCATAATAACTACTTTAAGAAATATGCTGAAAATATATCTATACTGTTTATGTATGTTATATTGAGTAATTTCTGAATTGAACAAAGGTAAGCCAATCTTTACAGTGACCCCTTATTTCCCAGGCTCTCAAGGGCTTTTACTAGGCCATCATGAAGTCGAACAAGTGATGGATAAATAGTTGAGTAGAGATTGAGTTTTCAGTTCCCCTCCAATAAAGAGATGTGACAGTTGAGGACTCAGTAAAATTGTTATAGAAAGAAATGTTACATGGGAGACATATGGATGCCTTCTTGGCACTAAAGCTCACAGATATATAGTTTGCTGCCATATGGGGACTTTAGATTCCTATTTAAATCATGTAGTACACACACAATTGAGTTAAGAGCCATTGACCCCTTCTTGTAGGTACTACTGGTATAGCCTCTGGAGAAACCCCTGGATCTGGAAGTTACATCACAGGTAAGTGTGCAAATACAAGTACAAACTGTTCATCAGCACCTTGGATAACATTCTGACAATAGCACAGTGTGGACTTTCCCATCACCTAGCCGTTAGTCCTTTCCTTCTTTCCTCTGTCAGAGGCCACAACTTCCATGGGAAGAAGTAGGACCACACAAGGAAAATTTTTAGAAGCTGAACTTGTTAGTTGGAGGTGTTTTTGTTGTTGTTGTTGTTGTTGGTTTTTAAATCAAATCCCTGTTTATGTGGCTGTAGGGAACATAATGAGTAGGCAGCTGAGCTGAGGAAATGGGTTTGCTTTCCCTCTGGGAACATAGCATGCTAGAGTCACAAATCTGGGTCACCCAGGAATTCCATTGCCTCACATGTTCTTATTATTTCTAGAGGGCTAGGCTTCCAGAGCTGTTTGTTGTGTGACAGGGATGAGGCCAATCTTTGGACCATCCCCTGGCTGCCAAGGCTGCAATACTTGTACATGGTTTGACATTTTCCCATAAAACTTACTAAGGCCTAGCTCATTGCCCTAGTTATCATGTTTAGTGTTTACTGCTGGACTCCAGCTGCTCAAATGTAAGGCACATTAGGATAGGGATCTTAGAATATTCTACTCACCAATACATCCAAAGGCCTAAAACAACATTGCACAGTGGAATGAGGAAATGTGCACTTGTGTTGAAGCTTCACTCTACTTGCTTTAATAGGTAGCACCACGCTTTCACCTGGAGCCAGCAGCAGCTCACAGAAAACCAAGCCAGGTAGGATACACTAAATAAGTTTTCTTAGGAGAGTAGTAGAGTCACAGATTTCTCTTAAACATCAGAATATCAAAATACCTCAAGTAATTGATTAGTAACATTTAGAAAGTTATATTGATTACATGCCTTTTTTCTCCTTTAGGCACCTCTGTCACACCAGGGAGCCCAGGGGCTGGAAGTGAAACAGGTGAGGGCAACACAAGGTCTGTTTTCACTTTCAGGGAGATCTGGGCAAAAGAAACTCCAGTAGCAACCGTGATAAATAAGTATGTCAGCAAAGGAAATTGTGGAAAGTTATAGGTGGTTCATTTCATTCAGAAATAGAGGCCCCAGGAAACATCTCTTGATCATTACAGGATACAAAACTACCCAGTACTTTAGAAGGAGTTGATGCTGTGCTGATGCCTTTATCTTTCTCATTTTTAAATGCTACACAGGGGTTCTCTAGGACAACCGCTAAGTCTAAATATATATGAAAAACTTCACTATGGCTCCTTGGATCATATATTCTGACATAAACACAATGTGTACTTTCCCACCACCTAGTCTTACTATTTCCCTTCTTTTCTCTATCAGAGGCCATGACTTCCACAAAAGGAAGTGGGACCACACAAGCAGGACTTGTAGGAGGTGAGCTTTTACATTATGAGGTTTGGGGCTTAAAAAAATCCCATCTCTGCTTATGTGGCAGCAGTGAAGACATGAGAGGGAAGGTGGGCTGAAGAAATAGGCCTGCATTCCCTATGGGAACAGAGCATGCCAAGAGTCACAAACCTGGGTCTACCTTGGAAATATCTGGTGTCACATGTCTTCCTCTGACTTTGCACACACCCTGGGTTTCAGAGCTCCTGGTTGGATGGCAGGGATGACCTACCTGTTGGCCAACCCCTGCCTGCCTGGACCCAATTCTTAAATATGGTTTGCCATTTTCCCATAGCACCTATTAACATGCATCAAATTGACATATTTATCATGTTTACTGTTCACTGCTAGCCTCCAGCTATTAGAATATAAGCCACACAGGGAAGAAACTTTGAATGCTGTGCTCACTGATACAATCAAAATAATCCTAAAACAAAATTGCTCAGAAGATTTGCTTAAGAAATATCAGTAGGAGGTTAAACAGATAGTTATTTTGAAGCTTCACTCTACTTGCATTAATAGGTAGCACCACACTTGTTCCTGAGCCAACAGCAATTCACAGAATTCTGAACCATGTAGGGTCTCTAAGTAAATGCACCATATGAGAGTATCAGAGTCACAGAGTTATACTTTGAATCTCAGAATATCAAAATATCTCAAGTAATTGATGAGTAACATTTAGAAAGTTGAATCCATTATCTGCCTCTTTTCTCCTTTAGGCACCTCTGCCACACCAGGGAGCCCAGGGGCTGGAAGTGAAACAGGTGAGGGTGACATAGGTTTCCTTTCACTTTCACTGGGATGTGGGGGAAGGGAAATTCCAGTAGAAACAATGATTAGTAGGTTGTTCAGGATAGAAAGTTGTGGTGGGTCACTGATGGCTGGTTATTTCTGAAATAGAAGTCTCAGGCATGGCCGTCTAGGAGTTCAAGGCCATGGAGTTAATGTATTTTAAAGGAGAGAGCTAATGCTGTGTTGATGCCTTTATATTTCTCATATTTAGGTGCTACACAGGGACTCACTAGGACAACCAGTATATCTGAAGGTTCCAACACAGGTGGGTTAGCAAGAAGTCTCCATATATAAACTCATAATGTAGTTAGTAGACGTGTTCTGATAAAAAAAAATCACATAATCCTCTTCTCATATCTCAAATCCTTTATCATTTTCTTCCTTCAGAGGCCACAAGGTTAACAGAAAGCAGTGGCACTTCAGGAACTGGATTCAGAACTGGTGAGAAAGAGTTCCGGCAGTTGGGGTTTACTATTAGTGGTGACTCTTCTTAGTCTGGCCTGCTGGGAGGGGTGCTTTCCTGCAGAGTGGTTTGCACATGTGTCAATACTGGCTTCTAGTCTCACACGTATAACTTTGTAAAGAAGGGCTGGTGGTAAAATCAGTATGGGAGGTTTAACTTGTGATGGCATACACATCACTAAGCAAATATTTATGAAGGGAATCATCCTGGATGAGGCCCAGAAATCAGGATTTTAAAAAGATTCCCAGGTGATTCTAATGTGCAGCCAAGGTTGATAACCACTACATTAAGGGAACTTTGAATATTCTGCTTACTGATATATCCAAAAGCCAAAACAATATTGGACAAAAGACTTGCTTAAGAAATGTCAGTGGAATGATGAAACATATGCTTATGTTGAAGCTTCACTGTACTTGCATTGATAGGTACCACTACGCTTTCACCTGGAGCCAGCAGCAGTTCACAGAAAACCAAGCCAGGTAGATAGGATAGACCAAATAAATTCATCATATGAGAGTATTAGGACCACAGAATTCCAATTTAAACATCAGAATATCAAAATACCTGAAATAATTGATAAATAACATTTCAAAACATAACCCCATCACCAATCTTTTCCCTCCTTTAGGCACCACTGTCACCCCTGGAAGTTCGGAGACTGGAAGTGAACCAGGTGAGGGGTTTTAAGATTTCCTTCCATTAATGGGGGGATAAGGACACATATGTAATACCTTAATCAATACAGAAATTTTTAAAAAAATATTTCCTTCCACATTCAGTGGGATCTAAGGAAAAGGGTACTCCAGTAGGAACAATAATTAGAAACTCCGTGAAAAGAGGAAGTTATGGAAAGTCATTGATGGCTCATTTCTTTCAGAATTAGAGGTCTCAGGTAAGGTCTTCTAGAAGTTCAAGGCCGCATAGGTGCTTCAGGATGAGGGGTATCTAATACTGTGTTGAAGTCTTTATCTTTCTAATTTTTAGATGCTACATGGGAATTCTCTAGGATAAGCCTTATATTCTTTCTTGTTTTAGGTACTACTGGTATAGTCTCTGGAAAAACTCCGGAACCTGGACCTTACACCACAGGTTAGTCTGGAACTACATGTAAAAGCTGGACATTAGCTCCTTGGGTGATATATTTTGAGTAGCACAGTGTGGACTTTTCCACCAACTAGTCTTTACCCCTTTCTTTCTTTACTTTATCAGAGGCCACGACTTCCATGGGAGGAAGTGGGACCACCCAAGCAGGACTTCTGGAAGGTGAGCTTTTTCATGCTAATTAATCTCTGTGGGGCTAGAATGAACACATGGGGGGGACTACATGTAAAAGCTGGACATTAGCTCCTTGGGTGATATATTTTGAGTAGCACAGTGTGGACTTTTCGACCAACTAGTCTTTACCCCTTTCTTTCTTTACTTTATCAGAGGCCACGACTTCCATGGGAGGAAGTGGGACCACCCAAGCAGGACTTCTGGAAGGTGAGCTTTTTCATGCTAATTAATCTCTGTGGGGCTAGAATGAACACATGGGCGGGGGT